TCAAAGCTGAAATGTTAGCTGTATTATCTTCAAACTAGGGAGACCTGACTTTAAAGTATTCATTATTGAACTGCTCCTTTAGCAGTTATATCTTAATTAAAATACAGCTGACAATGCACCTGCCTATAAATCTTCTTAATAAAACCCATTCATTCCAGGGAGCAGGGAAGGGTCACCATTTTCATTCCCATCTGCTGGAACTGGAAACCTGAAGAAGGGGGAGTTGCTTGCTATTTCATTTTACAGATGCATTTGATAGCTTGGAAAAGTGCTAAATGTCTAGAGCATCTGAGAAAGTTTATGTAGCATGGAAAAACACAAAAAAATAAAGTAGTATAAGTTAGGGAAAGGAGTGAGGACAAGATTCCAACTGTTAACTCTCTAGAGAACATCGATCTCCCTGGGAGAATATCAATTTTCATTCTAGGCCTCTTCTAAGGTGTGATGTATCCGTTCCTTTTCCTCTTGATCTGTGCCTGTCATCTCTCACTGCCCACAACCCTCTATTCATGTACCTCCCTCAAACTCCCCTACTCTACTCTGGTTGCTAGAAGATGGGCACCGTCCATGCAAGGCCAGTATATTTTGCCATACCAAGTGGCTGCCCTACCAAATCTCCAAAGCCCTCTGGAAATTCACAGAAAATTCCATGCGTCCTCAGATGACCATGTCTCCTGCACTGCTTGAAGGACCAAGTCTTTCGCTAAGAACCATTTAAACAAAGGAAAATGTACACCTTGGCACCTGGGCAATAGCTGGGGAAGATCACCTGGTCATAGTCTTATCTACAACAGGGAAATGTCTTGTATCCCTATTTAAATTCTAGTACTTATTATTTCTAATTTTGATTGTGTATAAATTAGCACATGCAAATCCATGGTATTTCTTCTTTTTTGTAAATGGCCGCCCTCCTCCCAGGGCGATGTATGATGTGCTTGCCACATTATTTACAACGTTGCAAGTGAGTTTGCCTGCCAACCTTTTTGTTAAGCAGCTCCTGCTTCTGTGACTGTTAACAACCGCCTGATCAGCAGATATTAGTGGGTGAATCTGTTTCTTTCCAAGGCCAGCATGGGAGGAAGCATCACTGGGCATGTCTTGAGAAGTCCCAGGTTTGCTGCTGCATGATCACGACCCTCCAACTTGCCAACAGCCAGAGTGCAAAACAAAAGCCTTCTCTCCTTTTGTCCTTCTATGAGGAAGAAGCCCTTTTGCCCTTCCTTTCTTATCGCACGTCAACTCCCTGGGTCAACAAGGAAAAGTTTCCTCCTCCACACCACTCTCCATGCTCCGAGCCAGAGCCTACGGCTCTGTGCCCGGTGTCTGGTGAGAGTGGCCACCCTTCCTCTGCTCTTCGTTTCCCCACTGCCACCAGCCAGGCTGACAAGAATGCCTCTCATTTCCTTAGTGCCTCTGTCCTGCAGCCCTGCCTTAGCCCTGAGACTAAAGCTAGGTAAAAGCCACCTCAAAATTATGTGCTAAGGATTGGAGGAGTGGTGTCTATATTAGCCCGTCTTCACTTTAACCTGAGCTAGGGTGGCCAGGTGGCCCCTTTTAGTGAGGACAATTCTCAGTAAGGAGGACAGCCAGACAGTGCCCTGTATTTGAGGGACTGTCCTGTCCAATTCTGGTTTAAAAATAATCAATCATATCTATAAATTAGCATATACCAATGTAAAGTAAGCCACTGCCCTCTTGCCTTCATATGTGCTCACCCTACACTCCTTCCTGGGTACTGTGACAAAACTCATAAGCAAGAATCTTATCTTTTGAAGCAACTAAGGTGCATCAAACAATTTATGGTGCAAAATAAGACAACAGCCTCAGGCACCTTGCCTTGGTTGGAAAATGGATCACAACAGGGTACGGTCTCGTGTGTGCTATACCTTCAAACTATTTCCATCAAAGAGGGCACAAGTAAATTGCATATTGCTGAGCATCCGAGGTGCAGTAAAGCCAAGTCTTTGACTTCTGGATTTTTTGCACCCAATTAAGCTTTGCACTCGGAGCTCACCTTGCTTGGTTCACAGATGTCCACTGGGGGGCAGCACAGCTGAACATTTCTGGAACTGAAGATTAATGCTCCCTAAAATCTGCAGAGGTGCATTTTTAAGGAAGAGAAGCCAAGGGACTGGGGCTGTTCTTGGACCACCTGCGGTATTATTCATTTTAAAATGAATTAGCCAGAGCAACTCAATGGCAGAACGGCAGAACTCGGTGGTTGTACCAAGTTGCTCCAGGTAAGAAGAGGGATAGAAATACATGAGTTGTTCAGTGGTAGAAAGCTGTGACTTTAAGATCAGAGTTAAACCAGTCTCGTATTGGCTCAAGCTGTACAAAGCCAGGAAACTAGAATTTGGGTCTGATGCCTTGACTGACATGCCCCACATTGCACAACATGAAAAATTATGTTTGCTTATAACTCGCCCTTCATGAACTCACATATGTCCTTGGTCTTTTGGGTATTAACTTCCACTCTATATTTCTCTGGTGCACCTGCAACTGGAGTATTGTGTTCAGTTCTGGGCCCCTCATTACAGGAAGGATATAGCCAGGTTAGAGTCAGTGCAGCGTAGGGCCACAAGGTTGGTGGCTGGTTTGCAGGGGATGGGGTATGAGGCAAGACTGAGGGAACTGGGTCTCTTCAGCCTGGAGAAGAGGAGACTCAGAGCGGATATGTTGGCGACATACAGGTATGTGAGGGGGTGTCACATGGGGATGGGCAGAGACCTGTTCTCCCCTGCAGAGGAAGGCAGGACGCGCTCCAACGGAGCAAAGCTCAGGGAGCCAAGGTTCCATTTGGATGCCAGGAAGCACTTCCTGACAGTTAGGACCCCGACGGTGTGGGATGGGCTTCCACAGGAGGTGGTTGAGGCCCCATCGGTGAGGGGGTTCAAGGAGAGGCTAGACATGCACATGATGAGCATGTCTTGAGCAGAGCCAGCTGGAGCCAGGAGTCAGACTAGATGGCCCGGGAGACCCCTTCTGACTCGCTCTGTTTCTCTGTTTCTATGCTTTTTCACTGCTAACCCGAGGAGGCATCCATCTAGAAGCACCCTGAGATCACTGTGCTCCTGGTTCCTCTGCCCTGCTCCACCTCATTGGCTGCTGCTTCCTTGGTGGGAGGAGTCAGTGGGGACATCTCCCACGCTTTGTTTTACTGCACATTATGGGGGCAGAAAAGATGCATTTGTGTGTGCTGTTTTGGGAAACAGTCCTTCACTTCCCATCACATCTAGTGCTGTCCTTAGAGAGACTTATAACTTTTGCTATACAAATCTCTCTCTCTCTCTCTCTCTCTCTCTCTCTCTCTCTCTCTCTCTCTCTCTCTCTCTCTCTCTCTCTCTCTCTCTCGTATGCAAATGTGCCACAGACCTGAGGGAAAAACCAGCAGGAGCAGTGGCCACACCGGAATTCCATGAAGTCAACATGGACTTCCGGAAGGGGTCCGGTAGAGATGGAAGCTCCTGCAAAATGGCTCTTGGTACGTGTCTGGGTGACAGAACGGTGAGGGCAGCAGGCAGGAGAGAAAGGAGTGGAGTGTGCCGTGCCATCTAGCATTGCAGCTTTCCCACTGGTTTGTTTATTTAAAATATTACACACCAACCAATAGCCATGGGAAGTATAAAGCAAAAAAACAAAAAAATGTGAAGCCATAAGAAAGATGGAAACTGCAAACATGGTCCAAATAAAACAGGCCACAGCATGAAGTCAACATGAACACTGGTGCAAAGAGTTCAAAAAGCACCACAACAATTGAAAAGCCCGGGGACATGAAGTGCCTCCACAGGGTGGTCCAAGGGCCGCCTGTGCGCTCCAGTCTCTCTCTCCATCTCTCTGGACAGGCCATTCCGCAGCAAAGACGTCCCAGCTCGTGTGCCACGCGTCCGGCTCTGCAGGGGGTGGGCTCCATGCCGACGGTCTGTTTAAAAGGCTGCCCAGCCCAAGTCTGCTGCAGCGATGAAATGTGGAGCAGGGGGAGGGAAGGGCCCTTGAGGTTACCTTCCACAGGTAGCATCTGGGCAGAAGACTGCGGACACACACAGGTCTCTGGGTCACAGTGCTCCCTCTCTGCTAAGGTGCATTGTGTATTAATCTCAGTCATCGCAAGCATTTCTAAATTTGCATCTTTACATAAAAATTAGCACATGCTCCTTGGGTGCACAGCTGCCCACCCCTTTACCCTGTTTTCGTGATGGTGCTGATGATCCATTTCCATGTTTTTAACTGAAGTGCAAGTGGCCACTCCAGACACAAACAAAAAAGTCCTCTCTAGCAGCCACTTATCACACCTGATCTGTTTGCAAAGAAGAGTCAAGGTGCCTTTTTTAGGCCTACCTGTCAGAAACCGACCATGGAAAGTGGAATGGTTCATGGGCCATGCCACTTCAGTCCACAAAGAAGGGATGGGACCCCCATCCCCCCCCCCCCCCAAATCTCCGCATTTAGGAAATAAGCATATGGCCTAGCCTGACCTCCTGCAGGATCAGTTAATTTCCTCTTGCGCTTATTTTGTTTTCATTCCATTTGTGTACTGAGGAGTTATGGGTCCCCACAAATTCATACTGATCACTTCAGAACCAGCCTAGGACCTCTTCCTGCCTGAGGCAAAGTGCAAGATGGCAACTCAATTTCATCTACCAAAATTGACTGGACGGGCCACTGAATCTTTCTCCAGCATGAGCAAGTGGACTGAATCTTTTTGTTACATCTAATTATGGCAGCCAGTCCTTAGTTTAGGGGGCACAGGCAAGTGACCCAGCCCTGCCTTTCAACACCCCACCATCTTTCTACATCCCCAGCATCTGCTGCCTGAGGCACCCGCCCCTTCTGCTACTCATGGCCCTGTATCACCCATTTGTATTGCTGAAGGAGAAGGTATATTTAGCCAGGATGCAGGACTGACCTTGCAATTGAAGAAGTGCTCACACAAAAGCATGCATGGATTTTAGACCCGTAATATCCCATTCTCACATCATGAATTAGTTGTCGGACTGTACAGCTTTGAAGTGCAAGGAACTGATGGAATGCTTGAGCACTCTACCATCTTGCACATGCAAAGCTAACACATCAGCTCTAAGAGAGCTGGCTAACAATCAGACATTTGTATGCAGAAATCTTCTCTTCGCCTTAAAAAGGGTTATACTTAAGCTGGGAAATTCAGAAATCACTTCCAGGTCAAATAGCTGCTTGAAACTGTCCACGAACTGGTTGTCTTTCTTCAGTCGGAATCGCATGGCCCAGATTATCATGGTCTTCTCAGTACACAAGTGCTCAAAGGTCAGAAGTAGCTCCTCCAGGTAAGGATGGTCATAGACCACATCAGCAGCCAAGATGTAATCAAACTGGCACAGAGACCTGGGGAAATTCTTCTCCAAGTCGATGCCCCAGAGCAGTTCTTTCACCTGGGGTTCATGCAAACACTTCATCTTGGTGTTTCTGCGAATGTTGTACTGAAGGTTTCCAAGCAATTCAGGCAAGTCGGTGGAAATCACACGTGCACCTGGGACAAAAGGAGCCACCGAATGAAATTCCTTCATGAGGACAGTTGAAAAAGCAAGTAAAAGATAGCTTTGCAGAAATTCTTTCCAGCATAATGAACAGAGGTGATCTATCACAGACACAGACAGTATTATTCTGTGCTGCCCATTTCCCCAAATGGTGAAGTCTTAAAGCCATGTTGGTTTCCTTTGGATGAAGAGATCAAGCAGTACAGACCCAGAATGTTTTGCACTGTTTGTTTTGCTCGCAAACTTAGATGCAGAGCAGGGATAGGCAGGAAGCAGATCCATGGACGGATGTTTTAGGCTTCCGCAGTCAGCGTTCCTCATGCTGCCCATGCTGGAAGGAGCTTCTGCCAGTTGAAGTCCAAGACATCTGGAGCTCTACCTTCCCTCCGCCTCTGAAGTAGAGCTTAATCAGGGACAGAGAAATAGCAGGGTGGCAGCTCCTCTACTCCACATCAGTTTCTCAGAAAAATGCAGTAGTGTGGAATTTCAAATCTACACAAGCTCCACTGGACAGAGGAACCCATCTGGATTTCAGCTTCACTGCCTTCCTAGTCTGAACTGGGAAACCGGGCCTGCAAACTGCGTCAGGAAACTCCCATTTGCTGCAATGGGAATGCTCTTTCCCCAGGACAAATTGCAGGCGTGGAGGCTTGATCTGCATCAGGACTACTGTGAGGGAGAGCAAACAGCCGTGACCTTTGGGTTTTGGTTTTTTTTAAGCCAATCATGCAACTGCTAATTGTCTCATCCAGGTTGGCCCATAGTACTGCAACAAACTGATTTTGCAACACACTGGCATTCCCTCTGCTTTTACTGATATGCCCTTGGGGTGTTCATACCACACATGCTATTTTTAAAGCAGAAGACAATGCTAGAAATTGCAACTGCTCACCAAGGATGCTGGCTACGATAGAGAGCAGCCCTGTTCCGGCTCCAATTTCAATGACACTTTTGTCAGCCATGGCATATGATTTCACATTGGTTTCCAAAAAGTGGCACAGAACAAGAGCCTGTCAATCAAAAGGAGAAATGAAGGGAACCAGGCAGACACAGAAACTGCGGTTAGCACCAAAACAACATTCACTGGGATGCCCGTGTGGTGGTTTGCATGTCGGACTGGGACTTGAGAGACGCAGGTCTTGAGAGACTTCCCTGGGCCATGAAGTTCACTGGGTATCTGTAGGCCAGTCACCAAAGCTTAGCCTAGCCAACCTCACAAGGTTGCCATTCAGGTAAAAATATAGGAGGAGGAGGAGGAGGAGGAGGAAGAGGAGGAAAATGCTAACCACTTTGGGTTCCTTGCAGGAAAAAGGTGAGATAAAAATATAATAAATAAATTTTAGCAGCAATATATATAATCCCGTGAGGCTGACCTATAATAAAGGAACAGAAGTACCCTTTGACAGAGCAGAACCATGAAAAGCCATTGATGCAGCTGGAACAGACGAAGGTGAGGGGGAAACAGGACCATTCCACCTTGATTTGTTTCCTCTGCCCTCCCCATCACTTTTCCTTGCATTGTGTGCCTTTTTTAGACTGTACATCTATGGGCAGAGACAATCTTGTTTTACTGATTATACATAAGCTGTTTGGATGAGCTTTTGGCTGATGAGTGGAATGCAATGTACAGTGGTACCTCGGCTCACGAATGCCTCAGTTCACAACAAATCGGGTCGTGAACAAAAATTTTGTAAAAATTTTGACTCAGGTCACAAACCCCGCATTGGGTGGCGACCGCGATCGTGGCCATCTCCCCGTTCCCCTCAAGTGGGGAGATGGCTGAGATTGCGCCCGTCTTTCTTGCACAAGCGCAACCACAATCATACCCATCTCCCCCCCCCCGAGCATACCCGCAATCGCACCTGTCCCCCCCCCAACGCACCCGTGCAGGGAGGAGCAGGGAGAAGGGCGTGCTCATGCTTGGGGTGGGTGTGAGGGGGAGATGGCCACGATCTTTGTTGTTCTTTGTCCCTTTGCTTCACATTATTCTGATTTAAAAAATAGTTACAGAACGGAATAACCTTATTTACATTGAACCTTATAGGGAAATTTAACTTGGCTCACAACCAATTTGGGTCACGACCAGAGTCCTGGAACAGATCAAGTTCATGAGCCAAGGTACCAGTGTACTTAAATAAATGGTCCAGAAATTCAAGAAAACTCCAGAAGTTCCTTGTGCTCGGTGAAGCTGTAAAGTTTCTTCTTCACTTTGGCTTAAGTCTGGCTTCCACAGTGACTTGCTCCTGCTCAGGTTCACTAGTTACAGGGACAGTACAGAGTGCTATGCAGTGAAGAAGCACTCATTTCTAATATGAACATTCAAAGTAGGCCAAGTCGTCACGAATCCAGTTGGGGATCATCTCAAGAACAATCCCCAAGGCCAGAGGCGTGTGGAAATGTAACATGCAGATGCCTGCCATAAACCAGAGTCTCCCATTACAGGTCCCAGAGTGAAAGAACAGCAGGTAAGGGGCTGGGCAGCTCTGGATAAAGATTGCTTACCGACACAGTGAATGTTATCAGGGATGGAAGACGGGTGGGAGAGAGGAATAGTAAATAAAGGATATTCCTATCATGTTCCTTGATCCCGGCATCGGATTGGGGTAAGTATACACCCCTTTTGAGCATGATGCCCAATTCGTGAACACTAGAGAGGCCCGGGAATGGGGGCAGGTGGACCAAGTGAACAAGTGCAGTCCCAGGGTTGAGTCCTTGCCAAATTTCAGTGGCAAGCCATGTATTTCACATGGCTCATCCTTGTATTTAACAACTTGGCTGTTGCCATAGGCAACCAGAAATTCCTTGCAAGCAAGTGAGCAGATGGGCAGAGAGGGAACGTGACACCCCATTCTTTCTCCAATCCTCGATACAGGGGAAGAAATGGCTTCTTCCAGAACAAGAAAAGCAGAGGGCCTGGCAGATGGAAGATGGACTGCTCTGTCACCCCTCCACCAATCAACTTGATAGAAAGGCTTATTTAAGTCTTACTATTATTATTTTATTTATTTATGCGCTGGCCTGCATTCAGTGCTAGCCAGGGTTTCTCTCTTCCGTCTCCACCATGGAGACACGGGGATCTAGACATTTGTCAGGCCAGTAAAAGAAAAAAAGAAAGAGAGGGGAAAGCCAGCGGGTAACTTTCTGGTCTTATTTACAAGGCTGATGCATAACCGCATACCACTCTGTTTCAGATCATAGATCCAATAATATAGTGAATACAATACCGAAGGCCAGACCACAGCTCCATAACTGTCAGTGGCTTCCGTAATCTTTATCTTGTGGCCAACAAAATTAAATCCTTCCCAGGGCTGGGTGGTTATAACGGATGGAGAGAAGCATCTTCCCATGATTTCTGCAACTAGCTGTTCATCTCCATTCAGTCCTGATAGTGAAATAATGCAAAGATTATACATCTTAATCACAGTGCAATGTCCTTATCACAACGCTACTAGCCTCCAATGGGCAGGCCACCCCAAGTCATGTGAGTTATGCCACGGCACACACATGTTCCCAGAAAGGAACTGCTTAGTGTGATGTCTGTGGTCAAGAGGAACTGTCATCCTTCATACTTAGTATTTATTATGCTGTAAGAACAGAACATTTTTCTCCTTTCCTCAGCACCCTGGATAGAAAGAGGGTGGAAAAGTCATTGCATTCTTGTAAGTGGGCTAAACCTCAGAGACAGAAGATTGGAGGGGTGCATTTAAAAGCAGTCAAGGGCTAAGCCAGGTTGTGTCCTATTTGTCCTGCAAGTCCCCCTTGGAGCAGCAGCTCCTCAGTTCCTGTTGGTCTTGTGGGGACCAGCACTGCTCACGTTAACCTACCAGGTGGCAAAGGGGAGACTTAACCGGCCTACCAGTCAAGGATGTGGGCAACCCGCAAGCCCATGGTAAGGAGTCATTCAGTTCACATGCACTGCTTTACAGCAAAGGCAAGAGGTCTCAGCCATGCTTGACCTCTCCACCAATTTGCACCCTCAGTCCTCCAGACACAGAGACCAAACCCACAAATGGAATAAAGATGAAGGAGGCATAATGATATAGAGGTGAATGTTGGAAAAGATGCATTACTTTTAAACAAGGAGAGAAAGCTAACTCCTTCCAATCTTGCTGATCCATTTTAAAGACATTAAGGGCAGTATCCTGCACAGGCACTGTGCCTCCTTTGCCAGTTGTGCAGGCACCAGTGGGCAGTGTCTAAACTAAACTAAACTAAACTAAACTAAACTAAACTAAACTAAACTAAACTAAACTAAAAACTAAACTAAACTAGTTTCCCCACCACCACCTTCAAATGAACAGAAATACTTGTTTCCAGATCAGGGCAGGTTCAAATGAACAGAAATACTTGTTTCCAGATCAGGGCAGGTTAAAGGAGCTCCCTTCTAAGAGCTCAGCTGACACGCTCCAGTCTGGAATCAAGTGTTTCTGAACATTTCCAGTTGTTTCAAGAACTGTTAATTCCTTTCACACCAGCAATGGGTCTCTCTGCTGTAAGGCTGCAATCCTACGCACCCTTACCTGTGCTAATCCCACTAAACAGAGCAAGATTTACTTCCAAGGAAATCTGAACTGGATTGCATTGTAAGCAGCTTAACAAATGTAGCTTTATTCAGATTCTTCTGCACAAAGGGGAGGAGGTACACACTTGTTGATGTCCTGACTGTCTTAATTTCTGTCCTCTAAGAATCCAGGAGTCCACTTCTTATAGTCAAATCATCGGTATGTTTTACAGAAATTTCAAGAGCTCTCCAGGCACAAGGCAAAGTATGCTCTGGTCTCCAAAAACTATGACAACCGAAATTTATTCATCTTTTAAGACACCACAGGGTTGTTAGCTTAGCTTTTTAACTACAAAATAAAAAGACCACTCTTCCAGAAGTCCTCTTAATATACTTCATTTTTACATTGTCAGTGATTATCATTGGAGTGAGGCCAGAAAGGCACCATAAAACTAGCAATTTCCTTTGCATATGGAACAGTCAGACTCAGGTCTTGCTAAAGTAGCCAACCTATCCAGACTATGACAAGTGCCATGTTGGATCAGTCCAACATCCTCTTCCTGCCTTAGCCAAACAGATGCTGGTGGAAAACTCACAGCAAGAGCTGAGTGCAAGAGCACCTTCCTGCTCGCATTGCCCAAGAACTGCTCTCAGAGGTAAACTGCCTCACACACGGGCAATAAAACAGTGCACGGCCATCAGGACTACTAGCCGTAACCTCTTCAGGGCTGCCCAGACCTGTGGGCATCATTACCTCTTGTGGCAGAGAATTGTATAGCTTAAGCATGTGCTGTGTGAAGCAGCACATTTTATCTGTTCCGCTTCTCTCTTCGTTGGATGACCCCAGTCTACTATGACGACAGAGGAGAACAAAGTACACTTTATGCATAACGTTATACACCTCTGACTGTCAGTCACACACACACACGGCTTTTCCGAACCTCAGGCATAGCCTGCAACTGTAGCATTCCTCTTAGGGAAGATGCCCCAGATCCATGAGCATTTGGGCTGCCTTTTTCTACACTGTTTCACACTGTGCAAAGTCCCTTTTTGAGGTGCAGTGTTCAGAACTGTACAGTATTCCTACTGTGGTCACAAAACAGATTTGCATAAAGGCATTAAGATATTGGCAGCTCTATTTGCTATTCCTTTCCAACATGGAATTTTTCCTTTTTTTTTGCAGCAACTGCACATTGGTTGAACATTTTCATTTGCTTGCCTTCGCTGACTCATTCCTAATTGCAGGTCATTTATGAGCCAGTTAAAATGCACCACTTTTCCCGATGGAGATCCTGAGGGACCCCACTGTTTACATGCCTCTGTTTCAAGATCTGACCAGTCATTCCTATCCTCCTCCAAGTAATCATCCGGTGCATACAATCAATCTCACTTAGGAAGGAAAAATTCCACCTAGATAAGTTAAGCTGTTGAAGAAGTCTTGCTTGTATATCATCACAAAGTTCTGACATCTCCAGTGCAGATGAACATGTCAGGTCTTCTGGTAAGGAATCCAGGGATGCCCTGCAGTGTCCCGCTGCAGCGCCTTCAAGCAGCCTCCGTTGGCACAGCTACCGAAACCCTAGACTGCAGCCCTGAGACAGTTTGGCTCGTGGACAGCACATTCTCCCTCTGACACAGCAAAATGGATGTGGTGCTGCAGGCTGCTGAGGACGGACCTCCAAGGAAGTCTGGCAAAGTATTTCCCAAGTGTGCTTCAAGACACAATAGGGGTCCTGCAGAACAGTGAAGGAGGCCTGCAGCATGCAAACAGGGGAAGGCACCACAGTGAGGCCTGCTGCAGCGAGTGGCCTGGGCTGCAGGTTGGTCAGGACAGAAGGTTGTGAGGGACAGGCAGGGTGCATCAGAGCCTTAGTTATTCGAGGACAAGGTAGCTGCTGATAGGACAGATTTCTGCCCGCCACCCAGAAAGTTTTTGCCTGTCAGACTAGGCCACCCATCCCTAATGTGGTGTCCTCCAGATGTTTTGGACTTCACGTCCCATCAGCCACGGCCGGCATGGTCAATGCTGAGGTGCAAGGGGAACACCTGGAGGGCACCAGCAGTGGCCTTTCCTGGTTTTTGAGAACGCTTGCGCAAGGCACCTACCAGGGACTGGCTCCCGCCAGGAAGCGCCTTCTCACCACCCACTTGTTCCTCCTCCTCCTCCTCTTTCTCATCCTTGCTACAACTTGCTTGCTTGCCCTGCAGAAAGCACAGGAGGCAGGGGCTCCTGAGGCGCTGAGCCTGCAGCCATGCTGTACAACTTCAGACTGCCACCGGGGGCTCACACGATCCAGAATGCTCCACTGCAAATACCCTTCCCAGCACCATCCACTACCCCAATGCAGAGCGTCCCTGCAGCCATTATTCCCACCACGGGCAGTAACATTCTTTTCCACCAGCACACAGCGAGAGAGGTTCTTGTGGCTTATAGCTCCACCACCCCAGCCCTCTCAGAGGTCAAGAGGACATAGATCCTGGTTACCCACAGAAACATTTTTGGTCACTCTGCCAAGGGCAGTCCTCACTTCCACGTAGCAACAGCAGACCCTGTCGCGTGGAAGGCCTTGCAAGGATCAATGCCAGGTTCCCATCTTTACCTGGGTGTAACTCCTATTGAACTCAGGGGAACTGGCATAAAATTGCACTGCCTATGAGGGTACACGATCATCTTGACCTCAGATGGAGTCAACTGAGGACTTCATCCAGGCATAGATACAGCTTAGGCACAAAATTGTGTACACAACATTAAGCCATCAACTAGCAGATGTTATTCCACCCTATCACAGCCTTACTAAAATCCCACGCATTGACTTGCCATCTTATCTAGCTGCTCGCGTAAGCATATTTTCTGAAAGGTTCACCCTTCTACTATATCCTGCTTCTATTTTGAGGAAACCAAAACCGGTTAATGCTGAGTTCATCACTGTATAGAGTGGTTCATGTTCCTTTCTTATGTAAGATTTCTCTTCCTCACCCCCTGCACCACAGCCCCATTCACTCGCCATTCCTAGAAGTGCATCTGGGAAGCAGCATCTGTGGACATGTCACCTTAATAAGGATGTCGGATAATGCGGAGTTCATGCTTCTTTAAACATGGCGAAGTAAAATGATATCCTACCAAGTCCCTCAGGCATCCGGGACAGAGCTGCTCCTTTGGCGGAATCTGTCCTTCATGAGCACGGAAACATGCTTCATTGTTTCAGGAATTCATTGTTTGTTATTCTCAACTCACAGCATGATCAGGGTCAAACTGAAGGCTGTATTACTTTTGTTACCTGTCATGTAGCATGCGCTGAGCTCTTCTGCATCTGCTTCTTTTCCGTTACTTTGGAGTAACTGCACACTGCCCTGACTTGGACTGGATTGGGACTGAAATGCAGGGAAGGCGGAGAATAAACTTCCTCCCAGTCATTCCCCTCCCGACATGTCACCCCATCCCAACACAGCTACGCACACATGTCTAAATAGCAAAACAGGTGCCGGGCGAGCCTTCACTGAATTCAATAGAGGTGTTTTCCCTTGTGTTTTGTCCCCATGTTGCGTGGGGGTGGTTCGAGGATGAAATTTTGGGGAAGCAAATGAAAGGAAGAAGATCAGTTCCCCCCTCCCACCGGCCCCTGGTCAAGGTCAGTTCAGGTCAAGGCTACATACATTTGCTGTAAAATGCACAGGCCATACAATTAAGTTCTCATGGAAAATCACAACTACACCAGTGGGGAGTGACTGACACTTGGCTTTGCTTTCCCCCAAAATACTGGATGTTCCCCAATCTGTAACGCTCTACAAAGTGTTGTTAAAAACAACAACGACAACAACAACAACAGAAAGGAAGCTATATGGTCATCTAAAACTTCCATGAAAAATTAAGAGCAAGAAATAACAAGTATACGAAATAAGAGTCGTGTTTAAAAGAGTCAGAGTTATAGAGTTCCTTAGTGAAGGCTGATGGGGCTTAAAAGAACTGTGTGAATAAATTGTTTTGGCAAGCAAATAATCCCCCAAATACGTACATGCTTACCATGGCACATACTGGGGCTTTCTGCTGTAAGTGAGCTCACAGAGAGAGAGAGAGAGAGAGAGAGAGAGAGAGAGAGAGAGAGAGAGATGCTTTGTGTTTGCCTGAGTTTACACAAAACACCCAGCCTGCAGAATAGCTTTACAAAGCTTTCTGAACATTTGTAACTTTCTGGTTGGTCCTAATGAACATATCATCCTGTCACTTTTGGGTTTTTTATTCAAATGGACCAACACAAGTGTAATTTGAGAAACAAACGCAATCACTTGAAAACATCATGTTTCTGGTCTTTTCAATCTCAAAATCATGGATTATATTTCCTTATGACCAGACACGGCAGTGTGGGTGTAGGTGGTGGGGTGGGAGCGAGTACTACCAGCACCAAGAGATTCACCATCCCCAGGATCCATGTTCCCAATTATTCTGGCACTTTGTCACTCTGACTGTCCTTCTCTCTTGACTATGCACAAGCAACTCCGGGATGGGCAGTTCCTGAGAGGCCGTGTTACACAAGGAGGCACAAGTCTCCTTGTCTCTCTGCCAGCATGTCCTTTGCAACCACATAAGCAGTGTCTGTTCTCCAGAAGGCCCTGGTCCAGCAACTCACTGTCCAGAACGCTCCATATTTCCTCGAATGCTGCTACTGATTGGCTCTGGCAAAACCTCATAGTCTCTGGACAATACTGCACAAGTGCAAGGAAGTATGTTTCCAGAAATATCCTCAGCCGCCATCTACATTTAGCCTCAATGCTTTCCCACATGGCAATAGGAAAGCTGTATAACCCATCATAGGTTTGTTTGGAAAACACTGTGGATCTCAAGAGTCCACTTTCCATACCTTTCTCTTCCCCTCCTATCTCTGGGCTACACACAGAGAGATACATTATAGAAAGTAACAAAAAGTCACACACACTGCATTACACATGGCATATTTCTGGTGTATATCTAATATATTTTAAGTGTACCCTTAATGTTAATGTGACCAGCATGTGTTTGCACAGAAATATTATAGCCTGTGCACTCATGAAAGCTGAGCACACATTTGCTAGCAAACCTGCATTTGCCCCAAAGCGATGCATGAAACGGCCCTTAAAAGCCACATTATCATCTCATTCTGGATGTGCAGCATGAGAGAGCTCTTCTTTACTGGGTGATGTGCTACAGAAATCGTGCATACCATTCCTAGTCCTGTGTTTGTGCAAAAATGCATCAGATGAGCATCATTGTTCTTTCTCTTTCCAGTGTTCAGGTTGTGGGTCTAAATTGCCCTGGCCAGGGACAAGAGGTTTTCATATTCCAAGGAAGGAATATGCCAGTTCCAGGTTTACTTACAAGGAGAATCAATTTGAGCGCAAAATACAAGCTTGCTGGCTAGCCCTCCCGAGCAAGTTAGCAGCAGGTCCCTTACTCCACAGCAAGAGAACAAGCCTGCAAGGCCGGCCCCACTCAACTGGAGCAGATGGTCAGCAGACCATGTCAGTCCAGACAAGAGCACATGGGAAATGACAGGCTTATATGGGTTACAAGTGCAAAGCGAAGCACAGCAGACAACAAGCAGATAGCAAAGTACGTTGGGAAGAAACAACTACACTGAGAGATGAGGCACCACAAACACTGACTGTTTACACAGGTGCCAGGAAACTGTGCTGCAGGGAGCCAGAAAGAAGGCGCAACAGGTGAGCAGGGTCCCTGCCTGGCCTGTCAAGGTCCCCAGGTGGGGGTCCCATCTCCACTGAGGATGGAAGACAATAGGATGTAGCCTGAGTTGGTCAGCCAACAAACATAAGCTCATCAACTGCTGCCTACTGAGAGCAGAAGCGTATTAGCAGGCCAGTAAGGGGTTGGTCCAAGGATGCGGTGCAGGCATCCTTTGACCCTCTGTTACGCAAAGCGGGGCTCCCTGGGGTGAGGAGTCTATAACGAAAGATCTCCATTTTAATTGAAATTAAAGGCTAGCAGAGGTCACCATGCTAAGTAAGGCCTATGTTTTCAGGAGCCAGAGACCCAGACCTGAATCTGGGGTACAAGTCTGGCACAGGGTCTCATTTCATGGACCACCCATGTCATGTAAAGCTTGAGGGAACCCAAGGCTTGCAGAAGTACCAAAAAACAAAACACGAATCTTTAGGCAGGAAAACAACTTGAGGGAGGGAACCCCCAAACAGTCCACTGAGGTCCTCAATTGCCATAGGGCATGGACTGACTGGATGTAGAAGGGAAAGCCACCCTGAACAGGGATGCCAAATGGGCAGGTTCCGTTGCTCATCCTAGTGGCTGATACATTGTCGGTGTGGCCAATGGCATGGTGTGGTGCAGTGGTTAGAGTGTTTGATAGTGTAATGTAGTGGTTACAGTGCTCAACTGGGACTTGGGAGATCCAGGTTCTAGTCCCCACTCAGCCATGAAGCGTACTGCGTGACCCTGGACCAGACACTATTTCTCAGCCTAACCTACCACACAGGATTGTTGCTGTAAGGAGAAAATAGAGAAGGGGAAACTACCTTGGGTTCCTTACAGGAAAAAAGCAAGATATAAACACCATCACCACCACCCCCCCCCCCCCCCCCACACACACACACACCAGGCAGGAAATAGGAGACATGTTTTCCCAACCAATTAGTAGGACAAAAACCAGGAAGAGGGCCAAAGGGAAGATTTACCTTCCTTGTGGTCTGGCCTTCTGGAAAATTCACGTGATACAAGGCATTCATGCTGCGATTCTGAACCCATTTCACACAATGCCCCGGACAGGTAAGATTCTAGAAACAAGAAGTGTAACAGATATCAGTAGCAACACACGAAGCAACAATATGCCCAAGCAAGCATGACCATAGTATGGAGCTGGAACTTGTGGCACTTTTCTTCATTAGTCATATACTTGCTTTCAGATAATACATTAATAAGGGCAGTCATGAATCTACTACGGTAATCATCAACCAATCATAGTCTAAGTCAATGATTGCTGGTTCATTGTGGAAGCAATGGACAAGTCTCAAATACTAGAAACTTTGATTGAAATGTGCCAGATCCCTAAGCAAGAACATTGGGCTGCTATGGCAAAATGAGTGACTTGTCTCTGGAAAAGTCACAGAACAAGGCCATGTACCAGCAGTTGTCCTCACAAAGGAACGCCTTGGAGAAATACCTGTTTTAGTTCATATGTGAATATGAATTTCTCCACTTTTTCTCCTTGTAAATGCTGTCAAATCCTTTTCTGTGGCAGTTCCCCATCCATCACTGTGCCTCTTTGTCTGGGATAGACAATAGTAACATGAGAATGTCAACATGCACTTGCTTTTTCACATAATCGAGCACACATGTTCACAGTAGTTAGAGCAGTTCTGGTCTATCCCCAGAGTTATGAGCCCCCTTCGAGGTTCTCCACCCCACCAAGGCAGCAAAGCAGTTGGTGTAAAATATATTACAGTGTATAGACGCATCTTTGGTTTGCCAGATGCTCAGAGACACACAACTGCATAGCAACAGTTGTTATGGAGCAGGGATGGTAGCAAGCATTCCCGCAACAGAGATTAATTTTTCCAGGGTGCTTCACATACTAAGAATTTCACTGCCCTTCTGTTGTGAGTGAGCTATCACTGGGTTGTATCCAACCTTAATCAAAAACACATCCCTTTCATCGGGATCCATTCGAAGTAGGACTAACAGTTGATATGCCCCACTGTCTTGACAATGCTTATTCTACCAACAAGAAACCAAAACAAGCAAGCAAAATAGTCTGTACAGAAGCACAGCCTTTGCAAAATGAGTGGTCTGATCCTATGTATGTTTACTCGGAAGCAAGCTCCACTACAATCAGTGCGGGTGCTCCCTGTTCGTTGGCGCACACACTGAGGCAGAGAAAAAGGAATCACCAGAACATCTTGCTACACTTTTGAGTGACGGCATTATTTATTTGCTCAGCATCTGGCCTTTTAAGAAATGTTATTCTAAAGGTCATCCCTGTAGGACATTGTTTTTTTGTAATCCGGAGCAGCCTACCAGGCTCAAAAGTGTGAGCTTGTTACCCTGCTGACTGGATCTGTGCATGTTTTGAGCAAGGCTGAAAGACATCACGCAGGAACATTCCCGTATCTAAAACACACTACATCATAGGGAGGATTTAGAGGCATTAAGTGTAATTTTTAAAAAGCTGTTGTGGCTAGACTATCTTTTAAAAACATCTACTGCAATGCATTCGGCAACATACCTATTTTGGAGTTGGTGGTGGTGTCCAAAAAAGGTGAAAGCAAAAATATGCCCCTGCAGGTTTTCTCTCCTCAACTCAGGTTATAGTGCATGAAAAGCCCTGCACAGGACTGGTAGTAAAGCTTGAGCAGTCCCCCACAGTATTAGCAATTAATACACCCAGCCAGCTAAGAGGCGAATCGAGTGGGCACTCCCCTTGAGTTTCATTGGTAAAAGAAAAGCTGAGCTCACTTGCATAAGAGGGAGGGGGATAATTCTCAGAAGAGATATAAATCTAGCGTTATACAAGGCGCTTTCATCACTGCCCAGCCTGGAATGAAGGAAATGAGGCTGCGATCTTGCATCCTGGAAGCAGACGTTAAATTCAGTGAGACTTACTTCTGAATAGACGTAACGCCACATTGTAAAACTTGTGGAGTGTGTATGGAACAGAAGCATTGGGTAGGAATGTACCTCTCTCTTAGGAGAGAGTGGTAAAACCCCCCAGACCTACATGTTTGCAGTGTATTCAGTTTCATCCTGGGGAAAGCAATGGGTGCAGATCCAGCTGCAATGTCACCAACACTGTGTCAAAGGGAGGCCCACATCTCAGCGGGGACTAACTGACAAATAGTCCCTGAAGGCTCTGGCTCTTCACCACTGCAAACTGCTTGACTGCTGGCATCTTGTTCAGGAGGTAAGGAGGTGGTGCAGGTGATGCTCCTACCTGCTTGTCCTGCCTGCGTCAAGCAAGCAAGCCATGGCAATGATGAGAAAGAGGAGGAGGAGCACAACTGCTGAACAGGCGCAATGGCACTGAGAAAGTAGATGCCCTCTAGGCGTCCTTCTCAGGGGGCCCTCAAAAACCAGGAGGGAGCCCTGGGTTGGGTGATTTTAAAATGTTTGCAATTGCAATTCATAAGGGAGGGAAGGTGGGATATAAATTAAAATGCACAGAAGCGGCATCCTCCTTTTAAAAGGAAGTAACACATCGTGTTAAAAGGACAAGAACCAAGAGGGGCAGCCCAATTTTGGTTTGGATTTTGCAGGCACCGTGGATGGTGATCCTGTAAGTTTGGAGAACAAGTCTGCCTTGGCAACCTACTATCAGTGGCTGCTGTTTAAATGCAATGGATTTCATTGCAGGTGAGTACAGTGCAGGGGACACAGGGCATAGGACTAAGTCCTTCCACATGTCCTTCCACATATGGGAGCCTCTCCTTCCCTCCACTTCCTTCTTTTGCATGTCTTGCCATCTCCTTGCTCCATAGAACCAGTGAGCAACAGCCCTTCACAGGTAGCTTTCCACGCTACCAAGTGACGGTTGCTCCTTGGGATTTCCTAGGCTAGCCTTACCCAACCTGGTGCCCTCCAGATGTTTTAGTTACAACTTCCTCCAGTCCCAGACAGTACAAGCCATGCAAACATCTGGGGAACATCAGATTAGACACAGTTGTGGTTTCTATTTGAACCCAGAAAAGAATGTAAGGAAAGTCATGCTGGATTAGACCAAAGGTCCATATCCCCCAGCATTTTCTTCATGCGGTTGGCCAACCAGCTGCCTGTGGGAAATTCACAAGTAGAGCATGAGCGCAGTAACACTCGTGTGTAAGTGTGTATAGAGAGACTGAGGAAAGCAAATAGCCGTGAGGACTAGGAGACAACGAGAGCCTTCTCCTCCACGAATTCATCTAATCTCCTTTTAGATGCACTTCTTCCAGGACTATAGTCCCATTCATTTCCCAGTGTAAATCATGAACCAGGGAACCCAAGGCTGCTTTTGCCCCGTAAGCAGCTCTGACGCTTAACTGGAATGAATCTGATCCGTACCAACACCTCCTAGAGTTGTGAGACCTTGTCCAGTAATGACAATTTTTACTGGGCACTATTTATCTTAAACCATAGGATTTTTATTTGACTTCTTCAACAGAGGTCCCATCATGGCTTCCTACAAAGCTATAGCAACTCTACCATCACTCAAGAAGTGTCTTCAGTGTCTTCACTCAAGAAGACACTGATTGTCTCTGATGTCCAGAGACCCATCCCAGTCTTATACCACCTTTTACTTTTAACTAAGTATACAACTGCTAGAAATTATGTGTGTTGAATTCGAGTCCAGCACCAAATTCCATTTCAGAGCTCCCAGAGGTTGCATTCCAATGGTAGAAAAGGCAAAAAGCAAAGACTGTGAGGCCAAAATACAAAAACTGCCAGCATATGTTAGCTCAAAACTCTTACTGCCAGTGACTAGATCTTGTGAGAGGCTTTTCAACCTTTTAGAATTGAAAAATTAAAGAGCTGGCCCACCACTGCCCACATCAAAACCTACCAAATGATAAATGATTGAGGGAAAGGAGGCAGGGCCAGAGGAGGCATCCCGGCTCCCAGAGATCCCCACACCAGCTTTTTTGGAATGGATTTGGCCCACAGGTCTGAGATACTTCAACCTAGTTATAAATACATCATATTCAGTATTTATAAGCAAACCACTTAGGAATTTATTATTTTAGCATAATAAAATGATCAGAAAATGGAATGTTTGTGCATGACAGATTTACTTTATAAGAAGTTAAGCAAAATACACAATAATTATTGCATTGCATAATGATGAAATGGGTTCCTTTTTGTAACATACATTTAAAATGCCTCTAGCAACATTTTGCTATCCTAATTCATGTCTTCACTCAGGCTCTCTCATATCCACCCCTCCCACTCTGAAAATTACCATATTGTAACTAGTAGATTTATTTATGCATTTTACCCATCATCCCAGCTGGGCAGTAAACTTTGATCTATGCAGTATTGCCGGGTTTTACATTCTGGAACAAACTACAGATATAATTAATGTACAAATCGATTAAAAAAGCATCTGTGAAAGAGGACCAGTGGAATTGGACTATACTCAGCAGCAGAGATTAACAGGGAGCAGTCGAGTGAAATGAGACACATACTATAAAACTTCATGGCTGGAAGGATGGATTTGTTCCTGTTAAGAAATCTTAACTTGGCAGAATGATAGGGCAAATCTTAAGAAAGTCACCTTCAGTGCTCATTCCTGGGAGGCAGGTAATTTCTTAAAAACTCCCTGGATGCTTTGCTTGAACTTTCAAATGCTAAAATGTTAAGCAGTAAAGACTTTTTCTGCTCAGTAGGACCACTGAAAGATTTCACCCAAAGAAAGAAATCTTTCCCACTACAAGGCCAAAGTATACACACTATTGCCTTTGGTCCCAGCAGGAGAAGAATGCACTAAGCAAAATCCAGTGGGACACGAACATGCCCGCCAATTCTATACATCTACTTGATGCAATTGAACTAGCAAAAGAGACTGGGTGGAGATGGAAGCAGCTGCACCCCTGTGGATTCAGCCCACCGCCTTCAGAAAAAGGAAGGCTCTCACAAGAGAAAAAAGCTAAATTCACAGCTGCTACTGTTGGAATGATTATGTAACACCCCTCCCCACCTCAACAATTGACAAAGATATTTCTATTATACTCTTCAGCCCTTAATTACACATAAACAGAATAAGACAAGTTATCTCATGGCTTTAAATTTGGTTCATGCTACAAGCGGCACAACTTTGTGAGTCTTTATCATCTATCACCACATAACAGAAGTTTAAGATTTTATATTTGATTTATATATTAAATCAAAATATTTAAGTCTAAGTCAGAATCATCCAGGCAGAAAAACCCCCAAGATTAACTAGGTCCAATATTCGGCCTGTTTCCCTTGTCCCAAAACCAGCTGAAGTTCAGGCAGTGAGAGAAGCAAACTGCCTCTGATAATAGCAGCGTTACATAGCCACCCTGACTAGTAGCCTCCTTGTCCTCTAGGTGGCCTCTACAAGCCCAAATCCTGCCATAAAGTCATCCAGGTTGGTGTTCATCCCTTCCTCTTGAGGTACTGAATCCTGGTTTAGCTATGCAGGGTGTGAACTTTGTCCATTATGAGGCATCACCCAGCCCTCCCCCCCCTTCTAGCACTTTCTCAACACTGTATGTGCACACTTTCCCCACACTTCCGCCCTTACCATTTTTGCATGCCTAACAGCCCCAATTGTTTCAATCTTTATTACAGGGGAGTTGCTCCCGTCCCTTT